ATAAAAAAAAAAATTTTGAATTTACTTACTTGTAGCCGGAGTTAGAGGCGGTCGGATACTTATGACCGCTACTGTATCAATATGTATTTAGTCAAAAAGACTGAAGGAAAGACATTCTTACATACTTTATTAGAATACTTACCATTATTTTTTTTATGTTAGTGCAACATTATCGTTATTATTCGTAGAATTCAAATTTAAAACAGAATTATTGATTTGATTTGTATTTAATTATCCTTATCATTATATTTGAGCTCTATATAATGTTAACGTTAATCAATTATTCGTTATTTGATAAAAATAAAATTCATGGTTACAATTATCACAATATCGATTGTATTGTTATTTTGATCGATTTTGATTGATCATTGTTACATGAACGACTAAAGTATCAGTATCGATATTGATATTGATATCGATATGAATTTCATAAAAGTAAAATTTATCCCTAAAAATTGAGATTTATTTTTTTTAATAGGGGATCGGTATGATCGACTGATGTAAAAAACTCATTTTTTCATATAAAAAAATGAAAAAAAGCAAAAAAAGCGTAACTTTGTTTCATTTTTTACAAGAATGTAACAAATTAACCATGCCTACACTATTAAGAAAAAATATACCTTTAAGTTGTTTTTTAAAATAAATAGTACAATAAATTTTGTAGCAGTTAAAACCTTAAAATAATCTTTCTTCAAAAAATTCAAAATTTATCATCGTTATTTTTATGGCAAGAATAAAATGTGCCTATTACTGGAAAGTAAAAACACTTTGCGGATTATATCGATATACATTGTAGTGAGTTGAATTTAAGAGTTTTGATAACGATAAGGCAATATATTAAAAAATACTATTATTCAATTTACTACAAATGATAGTTTAGTGATAATAATGTAGCATTAGTGATAATTGAAAAAATACTCTGTCAAGAAAAGTTAAAAACTTTTATTAATTGTTTATCATTATGAGATTAAGCCTGATATTATTTTATTAATGAGGTCAATTTTCTTTATTGGTAGGAAGGTGAGAGTAAAGCAAATTCTGGTAAAAACAAAATTTCCCGTTCAAAATATATGGTGTAGACCAAATGAAGTTTTATGTTAGTTGGATAGCATTATTTGAAAAGCATTTATATGCAAGTGTTAAAATATACATTGCTATAGATAAAAGATAATGGTAAGATAATCAATCTTATTTAAAATATTTATATATTTTTTTATCGTTAAGCTAACTTTATATTTAGGTTTGATATTGTATGATTATCGTTATTAACTCAAAAACAGGAATTTAGATAAGAAGGATAGATTTAAAACCAATCGTATCAACTAATTGATAGTATGTTTTTCAATTTCATTGGCTAATTACGAGTTCTTGGGTAGTTCTGGCAACTGGAATAGCTAGTGAATGAATTTTCTGAAGCAAATAATCCATCAAAGCGATTCTAGATGTTGCTTTACCAATTGAGCTAAATATCTTTGTATGTTGCTGAGGATTCTTTTATTATAGTTGAGAATGTGACCAATGTTGTTATCGTGCTGTAATGACGTTAAAGTTTTAACTTTTCAGAGAAATTAACGTGTAAATTTTTAGCATAGAGTAAATTTTCTAAGATGTGTATGCATCTAGATCATTATTCATGCTCGAAGAGAATATTAGCGAAACTTCTTGAAAGAATTCAAAAAAGGCAGAGCCTGTGTTATTGAAGAATTATATAGAAAGAGCATTATCAAACTTAGTATTTATTGGACATATATGTTAGTATTAGAATTTAAATTCCATTTGTTGCTCTTTGATCGTTATATCTGAAGGAATATTTTACGATTATTATTTCAATTTGTAATTAGATGCACTATATGCAGAAATATCCTGTGAGTATCATTTAGAGAAACAGACATCAATTTATTTCTGTATATACTAATTTACTTTTTACATGACAAGAATGGCAACTCTTTTTTTCTTTCTCGAACAATCATCATCACAACTGGTATTATTAACCACCGAGAGCAATCCTGGAACTCACACCATCAGTTTGATCAGATAAATATAAAAATGAATGCTAAAGAACAAAGACGGGCATGATATCGATATTTATTACAGCAATTAATACAAATAAGGAATAACGTGCAAAGGTATTTATTTTACTTATATTCAATATATTTATTGTATTATTTTATTTTTGTTATCGTTATTCTTTCCAATTTACATTATTATTTATACAGGGAAATCAGAAGAATATGAACATGCTTATTTAAACAGATAAGCGTCGTCGATAAATGAATGCACTAGGTTATAAAATTATAAATGGCACGTTTCTTAAGCAGATGTTAGAATATCGATATTAGTACGATAATTATTTTTATATAGAATTTATTGATCTATATATAGCAATAGCTTGTGACAAAGATTTGCGCCTCCAAAACTTGACATGATCAGCACAATATACAAATAAGGTGCAACTTTTTTTTTTAATTTTTTTTAACTTTAACGTTAATAAAAATATACTTGTAAGCAGTTTTTTTACAAAAAGTTTTATAGTAGTCGTAATCCTTAAATAATCTTCATCAAAAGTTTTTTTTTTAAAAAAAAAAAGTCTTTTGAAAATGAAAGTACCTGTTTTTGGAAAACGAGAACTCTTGCAGACTATATAAATAGTTGCGAATTTGAATGTAATGATCCTGATAAGGATAACATCTTACTTGAGAACGATGATTATAGTATTACAACTGATAATACTTGTAAAATTTTGGCAACACCTACTACAAATGATAGTAATAGTGAAGATACTCATGAATTTTTATTCAATTATGAAGCATTTCAAAATGCTAAAGAAAAAGCTAGTTTAGATAAATGTAATGAAGTTAATATCGATATAACATGGGAGGACATAGACTCGATTGAAAAAGATTCTATTGAAAAAAGTTCAACAATTAGTTCCGATGAAAACTATCTAATAAGTGATATTGAGTGTAAAAATTTTGTTCCATGTGTATTGATAGATATTTTCAATGGACAAATAAAATGTTGTTCAAATTATGCAAAGCCAGGACATACTCTTCATCCTCTTCAACAATTAATAGGAACGTAGGAAGTTGATGGAACTGTGATTAGTCAAACTAATCCTGAAACTATGTTACACACTTTAGGTGTCTGTATGTCACATTTTACATTTGATCAAAATCGATTACATAAAAAAATTAAAAACAAATACGATCAGTAGAAGAAAGTTATATTTACCGACGTTGATGTCTCTTTTGCCATAAAGATAAATATTTTTTTAGCCATGGTGAGAGTTGTATAAAGCATTCTGTGAATATTATAAACCGAAATATATAAGTACCTTGCGTAGGACTCCAAGTGTGTTTAGCTTTTAATGATAAAAATAGAATTTCTAAAAAAAATAATGATAATATAAATCAAGCAGCACGTTATATATGTTCAGTATGTTTTTAAACAGAAGGTGGTCATTATTTTGAGCATAAAGGAAGTGGCACAAAGGTTTTTTTCTGTCAAAAAGAACATAATCATAATACTATTGATACTCTTAAATTATTAAAATGATGGATTTCAAATGTGACTGAATCAGATGATGATAAAATGAAAAATATTTTATTAACAAAAATAAGCGCAGTAATTAGTATAGTTATTAAAAAAGTAAAACAAAAAGATGATAATGTTAAAGAAGTGACTCCAAGTTTATTGTCAATTAAAATTATATTACGTTTAGCAAAAATAAATTTAAAACTATTAAATGATAAATATTCAATTATTAATTTATTGAAAGAGTAACCAAAAAAAATTGGAGAAACTTTTGGAATATGTATATGGAAATCACGTTTGGAAGTTTGTGAAAAAAAAAAGAAACTTGAAGTACCACAATCACTTGAGGAATATCAAAATAGTTTCCAGTAATTTTAAAAGAATTTTTTGATGGATTTATAACCTGTTTACAAAAAAAAATATGATGTAGAAAAAAAATGAAAGCAAAGAGAACAACTACCAAAAAAATTTGATAAAACTTGTTCAACAAAAATATCAGTTTTTATTATTTCAATGGTTTTATCAATCATATTTCCAGGAATTGATGTATAGCTTACTCATATTATGAGTTTCTTATGTTGAAAACCAAATCTGTTAAGTTCTCTTTACACAATTTTATGTACAACAAGTGTAGTTTCCCATACTCAACATCATGAAAGAAGATTAGAAAAAACAAGAATAGGCAAAATTAAACCCGAAGAAAGGTTGCTTATGGTAATATATATGATGTGACTCGAGCAACAGCACATGCAACATTACGAATGGTTTTTCAATTTAAATTACCAGTTCCTCTTTAGTCAATTATAAAAGAGGCCAGTTCTATTGAAAAAAACCATTTAAAATTGGTTCATCACAGTTTGTAGAAAATGAAATTCAAAACTTTGAAAATAAAATTGGCAATTTATTAAAAATTTATGAAATGGACTTCAATGTGAATACAGTTTATCAGAAATTAGTTAAAGATGTTGAATTAGGATGTAAATTATTACCACCCAATGTAATTATTTTAGAACCCAGTGAAAATCCATGTAATAATAAGGCTGTACACGATGCTTGTGACATGTATTTTAAAGATGTTTTTCCAAAAAATGGTGACTATAAAAACCTTGATGTGGCTTGTGATGAAGCGATCTTTCGTCAATTAATTTCTTATCAAGAATAAAAACCTGAATTGAGACTTTTACTTGATGCATAGCATACAAGTAAAAAAATGTGTACCACTTTAATCACTATTTTTTCAGGATATGGAATTTTTAATTTAGCGGCTTTTATTGGTATTCGCTATTTAGACAAATTAGAGAAGGTAGTAGATTATCAAGCGACATGCTGTGTCTTAGAATTAATATGGGTAGCAGTTGGAATTTCTTTGAATCAAATTTTGAAACACAAAAATCAAACCTTTAATGACATTATTCAAAGTGATAATAACTATATAATGAAAGTATGGTATTTATATTTTGTTGGTGTGGGTATTAGATAGGGTATAAAATAAGAATTCGATATGGTTATTACGATATGCAATTTAAAAATTTAATTGCATTTGCTTCACTTTTTCCTGTAGCGGAAAAAAGTAACTATGCAAGATCAGTTACTAATTTTTATATATCATTTTTGAAAACCCATCTTTACAATTATTACTTCGTCATGCATGTTTTATCAATCTTACTAGTTCAGGTCATTTTTTTGCTTTTGATGAAGCATTGGAAAGATTTGGCGTAAAGTATATAAAACAAAATATTGGAAAAAATCCTGGTAATGGAGAAGATTTGAAACAACGAATAAGTTCTGTACAATCAGAACGAGAAAGATTAGACATACTCTTAAGTGAATATGTTGGAAAAGATATTTAATTTAAAATAATCATGCTATAAAGTCTCATAAAGAAGCTCTTTGGAATTTAGTTAATTAACTTACTAATGCTTTTAATCTTACGGATCCATTTACTCATGAAATATTTAAAGAAACAATTGAAAATAATAAAGATGGATTTAATAACCTATTTACTTACTATGAAATTGAAGTTGAACGACTTAACAATATCCATGCTCAAGAAATTAAAAAAAGTATTCCTTATAACACAAAAAGACGATGTGTAAAAAATATAAAGACAATTACAATTGAACAACAAAAAAGATGGAAAAAATCATAAAGAATTAGAAAAAACAATTAAAAAAAATAATAAAATAACGCAGCAAAGTATTGTGCTTAATACAGAAAGGTAACTTCAAATTATACATGATGAAATAAATAACGATAATGATAATAATAGTAACGGTAAGTATAGATAATATTTAAAATATATTTTTTTACATTAAATAATAACGATAATGATAATAATAAAATATTATTTACCATTATAACCTTACAACATTAATGTTAAAGTTCCAATTCCTAAATGACGATATAGATCTTTAACTAATTCAAAACAAAATATCTTTTTAAGATTACAACAAACATCTGAATTATCAATAGAAAAAACAAAGGAAATATTTATTGAAATCTGTTCTTTACCAGATAGCAAACCTGAAGATTGGGATATAAAAAGAATTTGAGAAATTTGGTTAAAATACAGAAGACAGGTTAAAAGACAAAAATAAAATGTATAAATAAATAAATACTTACCGTTACCATTTTTATATTAATGCTAATATTAATGTGAATGTTAATGTTAAATATAATTTCTTTTTCATATTTACATATTTTGAAAATATTTGTAATAATAAAAATTGGTTATATAAAAAGGTTCTTGCATAAACTGCTTATTTTTGTTGCCTATTTAAAAATATCTTATAAAAGTAAAATATAGTTCAAAGAAATATAAATTCTCTGAAATAGTAATAATTGATACTTGGTGAGTAAATATTTAACTTTAAAAGTTATTTTTTTTTAGTTAGAAAGTAAAATAAATTCAATCATTGTGACATGATAATAACGTGATCAACATTTTTATATTATTTATTTGCAGATTAAAAGACATGTCCAGTGATCGTTATGAATCTAATTCTTGAAAAAATGTTCAGAAAGTCTAGAGTTTGTTATATTATAGATTCATTATATTAAGGTTAGATTATATATAATTACAAATTTGTAAAAATTTATTAATATAATTTTAAGTTATTAAAAAAATTATCATGTAATATGTAAATATATATTTAATATAAGATTTAATAAGACTAATTTTTAACAATTTCACCCTTTAAAATATTATGTAATAAATATTATAGCCCTTACTAATATTTCTAAAATTACTTCTTATTTTTCATTAATATTTTCCAATTATAATTTATAATTTTTTTATTAATTTATATTTTCAACTTCATTCTATTTCTATTTTCTATTCTTTTATTATTCCTTTTTAATTATATATATTATTACATATTTTTATGATATTATTATTTATTTCTATTTTTAAATATTTTTTACCAATTATTACTTATTTCTTTTAGTTTCTTCAATATTTATATTAATTCTTTTCTAATTTATGATAATTTAAGTTATATAAGAATTCTATAATCTAAGTTTATTAGTTTCTTTTATTTGAGTTTTTGTATAACATTTATACATATTCATAAGTTTCTTCTTTTATTTTCTTTTTTTATGATATTAGTTATTTGTATTTCTAGATCTAATAATTTAATCTATATTATATTTCAGTTATTGTATTTTCTTTTAGTTATTAAGCCTGTTCAATTCTTATTAATGCATTTTTGATATATATTGTAATTAACTAATTACAATTTATAATCTAATATATAAAATTAAACAGAGTTAATACATAGATTGATATATAGTATATTCTAAAATATCTAAAAAATAAGAAATAGAAAATACGCTCTTTTAATAACTATTTAAAATTTTTTTATGAATATAAAAGTGTTTCTAAAAAAAAATGTGATTTTAAAAAAAACTGAAATTAATGATTTAACTATCTTTAATTTGTTTTTATTTTCAGAAATAAGATATTCTAATACCTATTTATATAATATTTTAAAGTTTTTTTACTAGTATTATAAAGTTTTACTAACTTATAATAATAAATATTTTAAAAAATATAACAAATACTATCTGAACATTTTAAAACTTTAGTTAATTTAATTTCTAATCATAAAATTTTCAAATTTAAGAAAAAAAAAATAAGCATTAGTAGAATTACAGTTAATAGTATTTTTATCATAAAATTAAAGATAAAAGTAATATTTTTGAAATATATTTATGATTTGATATTGCAGAAGATTCTGTAATTTTATATATAAAAAGAATAATCAAAGTAATAATATTAAAAAAATTCATTATTTATTAATAGTTAAAAGGAGAGTAATGAAAATTAGTTTATAAAGAATTTTAATTAATTGGTAGATTTAAAATTGTAATTATGTATTATTAATAGAACTCATTTAATTTTAAATAATAAACCTTCTAATTCTCTAAAATTATATTTTAATTGAAAAAATGTTACTTAATTTAATGTCAAAGAATAGTAAATGTTTATAAAATTTTTATTAGTTATAATATAAGTTAATCAAATTTAGTATATGATGCAAAAGTTTATAAAATTCAAATTTTTATAAAAAAAAAAATGAATTAATTATCAATAATAATTATATACTTAAAGATTCTGCATATTTAATTTTATTATTTTTAAAATTTTTTTTTATTTGTTATTAAATTATCAATAAAAATAATTTTATTTAATACATTTAACATATAGGATTATAGTAGAAAATGCATTTAGAAGATTAAAATTAAGATTATTTTCTTTAAAAGAATATTCTATTACATTTAATTCTTTTTGCTGATTATGCTATAATTCTTTAAAACTTAATAAAGATATTTAAAATTTAAATTTAGATTTAAATTTAAATTTAGATAATAAAAATAATAATTTTAATAATAATAAATTAAAATTAATAAGTTAATATAAAAGAAATAATATAATATTTAATAATGAATTTTATTATGAATAAAATTTTTTATTATTTATTATTATATTTCTTTAAATTGTCTTTCATATTCTAATTAAACTTTAAATTTTAAAATCTTTGTATTTTTAATTTTTCAATTTCTAATTTATTCTTTTCAATTATTAATTCTTATTAGTTCTTTCCTTTTTAAAATTTATATTTTTCTTGTAATTTATACTTATTTTTCTATATTTTTTTTTGTTAAACTTATTGCTAAAATAGCATTCTCAAAGAATTAGTTTAAATTTTAAAACTTATATTTTTAAATTCAATAATACAATATCAATTGTTAATCTATTAAATATAAAATTTAGACTTGTTATTTCATGTGTTTCTAAAACTTCATCCAGTTGCTTATAATATTTTCAATCTATTTTTGCAATACTGGTTTGATTATTTTTTTGCTTAACTTTATCATATTGATATATTAATCCTTTTATTTTATAATTTATTTATTCACTAGAAAATTTTATAAGAATTTTAATTGAAACTAAATCATAAAATTTACTTTTGATATTAAATTATATTGGAATATTATCTTAAATATATACAATAAGTAAAATAATTTTATCATTATCCTATTTAGATAATTCTTTTTTAATATTTCTACTAATACTTTTTTTTTATTACCTTACAATTTTATTTAATAAACTAGTATTAATATTATTATTATTAAATCTATTCTTAAATAAAAAAAAATGGTATGTTAAATATATATTTTTAAAAATAATTAATTATAAAAAATATAAAATAATTATGAAATAATATTTTTATATTAGGTTGATTTTAAATTTCAAAAGGTTGAAAAAGTTGAAGAAGTTAGGTCAATTAATACTACAGAAGACCGCCAAAAGTCTCTGAACACCATTTTTTAGGTGTGATTTCATATCATTAACATCATGTGACTTAATAATACTGCGGTCATATGATGTTTTGGACCTTGTTTACATGAATTAAACATAATAAATGCATGTCCAGTTTGTTTATTTTGATTTTGAATCAAAATAAACTTTAATCCCAAAAAATACCTAAATAATGTCTAAAGAATTAACTGCAGAACAACATGGCGCTATATTTTTTTGCCATCAACATAGTGATAGTTACTGAACTATTCACGACAGTCAGATGTGATGTGTCAACAGTATTTGACACTTTGAAAAGAATGGATGACACTGGAACAACTAATTTGAGGCCTCGCTCCAGCCAACCATCCCTTCTTGGATCTTTACAACAAAACCGGCTTAAGAAATGTGTAACTAATAATAATGGAAAAAACCATCGCTTATGTACTCCAGAAATTCAACAATTCTGGAATAAAAAGACTGGCCAAGTTATTTCAACTCGTATTATTGGCCGTGCACTTCATGCAGTTGGATTAAATAATTGTATTACTCGACGCAAACCTCTAATCTCATCAGTAAATATGGAGGCACGTCTTGCATGGTGCTTAGAACATCAAAGTTGAATAAAGGACAATTGGTCGAAAGTTCTGTGGAGTGACGAGTCGACCTTTTCTTAATTTCAACAATCTCGGTGCAGTAGAGTTTGGCGAGAACCTAGTGAAGAATACAACATTTCTTGTGTTTCTACAACAGTAAAGTATAGCCCAAATCGAATGTTTTGGGGATGCTTTTTGAGACAAGGTGTAGGACCTATTGTTCCATTATTTGGAATAGCAACCAGTATCTCTCATGTTACTATCCTTTAAAGGTTTGTCATGCGAACTATGAGGCATGTATTTTCAAATAGTGATGGTTGGTTCCAGGAGGATAACGCTCGTCTACACACATCGAAAGTTGCAAAGAAATTTCACACAGAAAATGGCTTGCACAAACTTTCTTAGCTGACTCAAAGTCCAGATCTCAATCCGATTGAAAACCTGTGAGCAGATGTTAAGAAAAGCATTTGTAGAAGGAAAAAAATGCCTTCCAATATTGCTGAACTCGAACAACATGTTAACAAGGCATAGAGAAAAATTCCAATACAAACTATCAAAAATTTAGTCGATAGTATGCCACAGCAAATTCAAGCTGTGATTAAAGCAAAAGGAGGCCCAACTAAATATTAATTACTTAATACAAAACTTAGCGAATATCTTATTTTAATAAAGATATTAATAAACTTTTTTTATTCATATTATAAAATTTTAAGTTTTTTAATGAACCAAAAAGTGTTCAGAGACTTTTGGCGGCCCTCTGTATTATAGTTGTTGAAATAGCTGATGCTATTATAGTTATTAAAGCAGTTAGAAAGATTAAAAAATAATATAATAGAAATGGTATTACTAGAAAAACATGATGCATAGTTAAGTCTGAAGCATCAAATTAAATTACATTACATGATCATCAAAAGTATAATAAACTAATAATTCTAAATATCTAATAATTTAAATAAATACAATCTAGGTCTAAAAAATATCATAAAAGTAATAATTATATAATAATATAGAACTAATCAAATTATTCCATTTATAATTAATTAATTGTTTTTAATTACTATTATTCAATATATGATTCATTTTTAATAATTAATCAGATTTTTCTATTTACAATTAACTCAATTGTTCTCAATTATTATCTTTTGATTATCATTTATATCAAATGTATATAAATATAATAATTATACTTTCAAATCGTAAGAAATTACTAATACAGAAGTTCATAACAATATAATATAAATCAAACTACTAATCCAGAGATTATTAGAAAATGCAATAGCAAAATCAACAAGACAAATGAGTAATAAAAAGTATAGCAGGCATGAAAATGCAAATTAAAATGTTGAAAAAAAGCTAGCGAAACTGAAGAACAAAGGAAGTTATATCATGAGAATGATCATAAAAGAAAAATACAAAGAATTTTAAACAAAATTACTGAGGAATATGAATAATAATAAAATCAAGAAAATATATATAATACAAACTTACAGAGATAATAAACAAAATGATCATATTACTTACTCCAGGTTATCAGCCAGTGACATCAATGAAAACGAAATTTATATATTATGTAACTTTTGAAAAAAGATGATAAATATATGTTATAAAACTTATAATATTACAATAAAAGAATATCATCCTTAATAATTATTAGAGAAATATGCAGATACAGTCACTGGTGAAAGTAATGGCACTACAAGTGCTGCTTGTTTTTTGAGTCATAGTATGTTCATTTTTCATTCTAGAATTTTCCAATATTTTTAGAGTGTTCTTTATAAATAATATTTAATAAATAAACAAAAAAAAAGTTGTAGAAAAAAATGAATTTCTTCATGTTTTTCATTTAAAATGATATTAACCACCCTTGAAAGAAACCGAAATGCTGTTAACCTTCTTTGGCAGTAAAAAATCCGAAATGCAAGAGAAATTTCACAAAGAACAGGTGTTTCCTTACGCCCCTGTTATTTTTATATTAGTTCATTAAAGAAAATTAGTAAGATTATTATAGGTTATCGATCTGGTCAACTACGAAAATTGACTCCTAAAAAATGCCACCAAATTGGAATGATCATCAAGCATAATCATTTCACTACAACAAGTGAAATGAAGGTCCAACTTAATGAAAAAAACCCAGAGCTTGAAGTTAGTGAACGGACCATTCGTCGTGAGCTAAAAAATCTTGGATTTGTATCTGTTCGTTCCAGAAAAGTTCCTCTTTTGATACAGAAAGCAAAAGAGAACCGGTTGTCTTAGGCTCGTGATTACGTGAATTATAATTAGAAAAAGGTGGTATTTTCTGATGAAACTACACTTTAAATGTTCTGTAATACCTTTCCAGCATGGTCACATGATAAAAAACCTATTGCTCTAATGGTAAAACACCCATTTAAAGTTCATGTTTAGGGTGCAATCAGCGTTAAGAGAAAAATTGGCATACACATATTCACTGAAAATTTGGATCGTCATTTATACCGCCAAATTTTGAATGAATATTTATATGATAATGCAAGTGTAATACATGGTAACTGATGGGTCTTTCAGCAAGATAATGACCTAAAACATACTTCTCGTAATATTCAAGGTAACTTGAAAACTCACCTTTCAGGTCGGGTTCTTTCTTAGCCTTCCTATAGCCCTGACCTTAATCCTATTGAGAATGTTTGGACTATTTTAAAGAAAAATGTTGAGAAAGAGGTCAAGAGAATGATGGTACAAAGAAAAAAAATCTCAAAAGAAATTTTTTTAAATTTAATTAGGAAGGAATAGAATGATATTGAAAACATCGCAATATTTAATTGCATTAATAGTATGTCAAGTCGCATTAAAGCATATATTGACGCAGAAGAAGGCCATACCAAATATTAATCAATTAATAAAATATATGTAATTTTGGTTGATCTTTCAAAAAATAAAATTTTTTTTGATTTTTTATTATAAAATTACGTACAAATTATTAAAAAACTGAGTGCCATTACTTTCGCTGAGGTCTGTACAACTGATTTTACAGTTAATTTAAATTAATGATTATTAGATATAAATAAAGAGAGATTCTGATAGTTTTGCTATTTTATAATAACTTTATACACTTATATAAGATAAGCCAATTTATTAAAAGTCTAAATAAAATTATTTGATTTACTTTTAAATCCTTTTCTTTTGATGATAAACAAAGATTATTTCAAACATATTATATTATAGTAGATTTAGTTATATATTAATATATAATAACATATTATCATTATGATATAAAACTTTTTTGAAAATTGTTACATATAATATAAAAATTATCAATACTATTGCTAGAAAAACAATTAGAGTATTATTATTTAAATAGAATAAAGTTATAGTAAAGACTAGATTTATATATAAATTATTTGAAGGTTGAATTGAAAAGATAAAAGATATTATAGGTTAATAATAGAAAAGTAGTAAAAAGAAAATAATTTAAATTTTGCTAAAGCTCTGAATTTGACTTAATAGATTGGATAATCTGATAGGTCAATCCAAAAAGTTTAGATCAGATCAAATGTGATACTTGATCTAACTTTACCTGAATTTTTTAATTAAAAATTTAAAATTTAATAACTTTGTTAATATTGATCCTTTTGGAATTTTTACATAAAGACAAGTTGAATGAGTTATATTTGATTTATTTTGAATTATTGGTTGCTAAGATATAGCTTATTTAATTTTACTATATAAAATTTTAAAACTCATATTATAGATTTATATATAAATACAAAATGAAGTATAATTTTATTAATATTAATTTATGTGAGGAGTAATAGCTACTATTTAATTTATCATATAGAAATAAATCTAATAAGCTGTATTTTATTCATTTTGAATTACTAAATATTAAGATATTTCAAAAAAATGTTTTTCAATTTTTTTCAATATAATCTAAAATCTGACCTGTGATCTAATCTGACCTAATGCTTTAAATCAAGTAAAGTAAGATATCTGATCTGATCTGATCTGACCTATTTGAAACTTTAATATATTCATTAAAAGAAGTATAAAATATAATATAGTGAATATTATTATATTATTGTATTTCTTGTCTATTCATTTAAGCAACCTTGATATGCTAATTATAATATTGATTAATTGTCTCCTTTTGTATTTCTTTATATTTTTTCTTTTTTAATCTATTGTAATAGTTTAGTAAAGATAAATAAAATAATATCGAAACTAATATTTCATAATTTCAGCAAAATAAAGTGAAGTTAGCTTTTAATTTAAGTTACATTAATACTAAGAATATTACTGAAGATTTTAAATATAAGATTTATATTAAATACTAATATTAGATAAAATATTAAATTAAATATATTATATATTTGATATTATTCTAAGTCTCAAAATATTATAAATCTTGTCTTATCAAAGAGATCATCAAAGATATTCTCATATTTATCTTTGCTTATATTCTGCAATAAATATAGGATATTTTTTATAGATAGAAATCATAGCAAACTTTTTGAAAAAACCTTTTTTATATTATCTTAGTAGAAAGAAGAATAGTGATTTACTTATATTCTTTTTAGTTAATGAATTTATTTTATATAAAAAATGAAAGTCATTTAATTAAGTAAATATGAGACTTACAGATAGGACTTTAGGTTTTTTCTTTTAAGTTAAATTTCTGAAAAATATAGAGGATTAGAAATAAGTAACTAAAAATGACATGTTAAAAATTATATCTCAAAATATTTCTTAGCAGTCATATAGATAAGAAGATATTAAGATAATTATATATATTGATAAGACTTAGTTTTTTCTTCTTTCTCAAAAAGATGTTATTAATCCATTTAGATTCTTTTAAAAAGCTTTGTAACAAATTAGTAAATAGGGTAAATAGATAGGATTTTTTGTATAATTTCTAGATATACTTAATAAAATGATAAATTTTGCATCATTTACTATAATTAAATTATCTATTAAAAATAATAATGCAAATATAGACTAAGAAACTGATACTATTCTTTTTATATTATTTATTAAACTCTATACCATAAATAAATTTTAGCAAAGTAAAATTCCATTTAATATTACTAATATAAAAAAATAGAAAAATATTTATACTAATAAAATTAGAAAGATCATTAGGTTATAATTATTTAGAAAGTAATAAAAAATTTTCTAAATGTTTTAAAAACATTTTAAAATTAAGCTCCTTGAAGGAGTTGATAATCTAAAATATGTTGATATTAGTTGTGTGAACATCATTATTATATTTCTACTGGCCTACTTAAAGGTTTTAATATAATTAATACTGGCATCTAACCTTTTTACATCATATATGATAATATGTTATGTGATCTTAAAAGATAAAAAAAATCTATTAGTTGATTACCTTTTAGATTTATTATTAGTAAAACTAAGATTCTTCTTAATTGAGAACAAAGACAACTTGATCAAAGTTTTAAAAATTTATTAAAATAAAGGTATTATAAAGCCTGATTCACATGAGAAACTTATAATATGACTTATTCTGATTCTTGCAATCAGATACCTTAAAAAAAGTAGATTAGTTTTCTTATTATTCTTAAATACTTTATTCAGCTATTTTACTCAAATGATAAATAAGTGCTCAAGTATATTTCAGATAGTTATGTGATCTTTATACATTTTGTCTCAGTTGATTATATTAAAAGTAAAGAAAAATTCAAAGAATATTATTACTATCACATTGTAATTATATTTAAACTTAATTAGCTTATAGCTGTTCTGATGATTCTAATATTATTTATAAGTAAGCATGCTCTTTTATTCTTATCTAAATAAAAAATTACTAAATTCCTTACACAAGGGAAGATAAAAAGTATCTTTCATTAACTAAGATATATCTTGAATAAATGAAAATTTTAAATATTATAGTAAAGGGTATTTAAGTATTTATTAATAATTTAAGTATACTAGTATATGATTCATTGACTTTTAAATATACTAAAAAAACTCAAATATTAAGAATAGAAAGTATTTGTTACTTATTTATATATCAAGTCTGAAGTTAACTAAATCAAAAAACTTAATAAGAAATAATATATATGTTTTCATTTAAAATAGATTGATTTAAGTTTTTAAATAATAAAGTAATTGGAATTCTGAAATAGAAGATGGTTTTTTATATCACTTCTTTTAATCCTGAATGGAGATTAACAAATTCAGATTATAAGAAAATTTGAAAAAAAAAGTATTATTAAATTCTATCTATATATTTCAAGAGGAGAAAAAAATACAATAATAAAAGCAAGTGAGTTACATAAGTAAAAATTTATATGTTAAGAAAGATTTATAAGTAAATAATACTTCTTTAGTAAAAATAAATATTATAAAAAATGTTCTTTTACAAGTTTATTATTAATATTTTTAGAAACAATTCTAACAAAATGTAATAAATTATCAAAATTATCTACTTTTAATACTATTATAAATATTAAATTAGAATTTTAAAAATCTATTATATAATTTAAATTAGAATTTATGTAGAGTTTATTTATAAATTTTAGTAAAAATCGCAGAAGATTTTTAAAATTTATTATTTACATATTCTAATATTTAAGCTAATCAGTAATTAGATTTAGATGATCTTAGTATTATTATAATTATCTTAATAAGAAAAATTTAATAATAGTAAAATTATATTACTAATAATCAAATTATTGTAAAAACATATTTACTATATAACATTTGTGAATTAAATAAAAGATGTTTAAGATCCTATTAAACATAATATTAAGTTTAAATTGGCTATTGATTAAATATTAATATAGCATATTTAAAAATGTCTTTTAATAACTGAATTAACAATAAAAAATTTAATATATATTAATATAAGATTACATGTATATTATATAAAATGTTTTGTTGTTATACTAAATATAGTATTGAAAAACAAATTGCAATATGATAAAAATTATATATAAAATTACTTATATATAGAAAATTATAATTATAATAGTTCTACTAAACATAAAAAAATAATGCATTTCTTGAAGATAGATTATAATAGGATTTCAAAAATCTCTTATATAACTTAAATTAAAGTTAGTGTAGAGTTTATATATAAATTCAAATTATGTATTATATAAAATTGTTAAAATTTATTATTTCACATATTTTAATTTTTAAGTTAACTAATAATTGGATTTAACAATCTTAGATTTATTAGAATCATTTTGGTGAGAAGAATTTAATAGTAGTAAATCATATTTTTAGCATTAATATTAACTGAGTTATTGTAAAAAACTCATTTTATTATATGTTACTTGTGATTTAAATAAAAGATATTTGGTAATTGTGATTACTTAAGAAAGATTTTAAGAAAGATTTGTCAAATTATATGAAATGTTTTAAATTCTCTTTAGATCTGAATAAGATATATTTTTAATAATCCAGCTAAAAGTAATTAATAATGAAGAAATAATTATCAGCTGACATTTTAAAAAAATGTATATTAATAAAAAAAACCTATTATTAAAATTACAATATATCTCTTTATCAGAAAATGTATTTCGATATGTTAGAAATTAATTATATTTACTTCAAAAATGTCAGAAATCATTTAATAATGAATGGTATAATATCATATGTTTATAATAATGTGAAAAGAGTATTACAATAGAAAACTAAAATAATTATTGATATAACAATTGCTATTATTATAAAGAATTTTTTCAAAAATTATACTAAAATTTATAGATTACCAAATTCTGATAAAAATGTAAAATATATTATTCTATTACTTATATTTTTGTCAATTAAAATGAGTTATAAATCAGTTTATTATAATTTTATTATAGGACTCAAAAATGATAACTCATTAAAATTATTAAAATATAATTTATTTTGTAAATTATGATACTAATTAATGTCTTATATTCAAATTATAAATCTAAGAATAAATTTATGTAATATATGCTAATATTTTACAATATAATATTTACAAAAAGAAGAAAAAAAAAATTTATTAAAAAAATATAAAGAATATTTAGTTAAAGTTAAGTTAAAGAGAAATTATTATAATAAAAATACAAAATTAGTAGAAAAAAAAATTGATAAATAATTATTGTAATATTAATACTATTACTTATTATAATTATGATTAAGTGTAAAATATTTATATACTCTATCTGATTAATAGATAAGTAAAATTTATTATCTCAGTTCACATAAAATGCATTTATTTAGTATTTAAAATAAAGCAATGCATATATAAATTAATTACATCTTGATGAAGATAAAATTATAGGAAAAGGTTCTAATAGTATACTAATCATAATATTTAATAGAATTGAGAGTTTGAATAAAAGTGAAAAATATTTAAAAATTACTTATGACAACATAAGTAATTAGAATAAAATAATGCTACAATTTGATTTTACTTATATTTAATAATTTGTAGCTATTATAAAACTATCAAATTAAATTTTATAATATTTATATGCATTTTAATTTAGATAATCAATAATAAATTAACTGATTAATTTTACTAGTTAATTTATTCAATTAATTTAATTGATTAGTTTTACTAGTTAAATTAATCATTTTAATCAGGTATTAAAATATTTTAATCAGTAAATCTTAATTGATTCTATCCTTTAATGATTAAATCTATTTATTTAAGAAATATTTTAAGAATATATTAAAAAATAAATTTTTTTAAGAAATTTTAAGTCACATAATTATTATATTTAATCATGATATATTAATATAACTTATAAATAAAAAAAAGAATTTTTAAACTAAAAAAAAGTATATTTTTAATTTTTATAATAATATATATAGATATTATTATTTTTTATAAAAAATTATTATAATATTTAAAAAAATTTTAATAAGTGAGTTAATTATAGTTATTATACTTTAATGCTAATTAATGTCAAAATTAATTATATTAATTCAATATTTATTATAATTATTAATAAAATAATTATGTTATTAAAATACAATTTGTTTGTCAAAATATAATTTAATTAATAATTTATTAATTTATACTGAAGTATAATAGTTAATATCAATAGAAAAAGAAAATAAATATATTAATTTAAAAAAAGAGAAGAAATAAAAAAAGTTTAAAAAGCTTTAATTATTAATAACAAATTTATTAATTTTAGAAATAAAAGTAAATAAAAAGAAAGAAATTATTATTCTTTAATAATAAAATGATAAGAAATAATTAACTTAATTTAATAATTTTATTAATAATATAAAAATTATTTTATATAAAAATAATTTATTATTAAATAAAACTTATGTTATCTTAATTATAAAGTTCTTATTTTATATTTATTCTAATATTTATTATGTCAAAATCACTATTAGTGATTTAAAAAATAAAACTTTATCAAAGTAGTAATAGAATATAAAAACAATATTTTAAAAAATAAAAAAATATTTAATTTGATTATAAATAGCTATAATTTTATAATTATTATTATTAAAAGAACTAAAAATAAAAATAAATTAGCATATAATAATAAATTATATTTTATTTTTCTTATTTAAAAATTCATGCTTTTTTTTAATAATAATATATACTATCTTTATTTTCTTTATTTTTTTAAATTTATTATTTTTTTTTAAATTTTTTAAATTTAGATTTAGCAAAATATTTAAACTTTAATTTTTGCTAATTTTTTACTAAAGTTTTAATATAGTTTTATATTTTGATATAGTTATACCTTTTCTTAATTTGTAGATTTTTTATTAATTTTAATATAATTTTGCTAAATTTTACCTTTTATCATTTAGACAATTTGCAAAACTTTTAGGTTTTATTTAGCAACCTTAGATTCAGATAAATCAAATTAATTAGAAATAAATCTATTTTTAATATATTATAAAATATATAATTAAAACCATCTATTCTCTTTGCTATTATTTTATAATATATTTTCTTTTGTTTATTAATAATAATTTTTACTTTTAAGGATTAATATTTATAATCATTTATAATTTTATAATTTTTATAATATTTGTAATTATTTATAATTTAAAAATTGTCTATTTTTAACCTATAATATTATAATATTGTTGTAAATTCAATTGATTAATAATTATATAGTTTAATATTTTTTTAAAAAATAATATTTGATTAAAATTATTCAATAATTAAATTAAATTAAATATAAATCAATTTTTTTAATTGAAAATCTTGAAAAGATATCATTATTATACAAATTATATCAACATTTATATGTTAGTAAAACATTATATTGAGTATGTGTAAATAAACTTTATATAATTAAATAATCCATAATAGTAAAATATTTTAATAATTGAAATATTAATACAAAAGACAGACCAAATCCAACCTAAATTTAAAATCTAATTTATATCAATTTGATCTATTATGAACTTTAAGTTAAACTTTAAAATAATTATTTTTCTATTTTTATATTATACATGTGATATTCATTATATTATCTTTAATTTTCTATGATTATAATTATTAATGATTTAATTTTTAAATTTAAATTAGTATTTAATACCTCTCTATATTCAACATCTAAAAAGATTAATTCAACTCTAATGAATGTTTTGATTAAATTAATTAACTATTAATTAAAAGTAAATGAAATTAGGCTGTTACTTAATATCGTTCTCTAATATTATACGTGTTTACGTTGTTTGCTTTCAACGGGAAACTTATAAATAATTATAATCATCCAATGATTGAGGTAAAGTTTTAAGTGGATGTGGTACTAACGCATTAGATATATCACCCCACCATTTGTCACAATTTTTTTTATACCAAGCAACTAGAATTTCCACATGCGGAAAATAAAAAAGAATTAGTAAATTTGTCAAATGATTAAAATTCCAATATATATTTTTTTTTCAACTTACTTGTCTTTTTAATTCCATCTTCCCAGCTAACTTTAGGTTTCCAACCTAGTTCTTTTAACTTTGTATAATCCACAGAATATCTGCGATCATTGAAAGGTCTGTCTTGTACAAATTCTAAATAATTATGTTGATCTCTTTCACTAATATTAAATTGTTGTAAGAAAATTTTGGCCAAATCTAAATTTGATATTTCAAAATTCGTTCCTATATTATATATCTCTCCTATATGACCTAAGTGTAATATTAAGTCCAAAGCATTTATTAAATCACCAACATATAGATATTTACGAGAATTTGATCCATCTCCATGTATATAACTAAATATCGAAAAAGGAAGGTAAGGTTTAGAATGAAAAAAAATAACCGTTTGTAAAAAGAAAGAAAGGTCATCCCTTACCATTTCCCACCACGTATAAGACTACAAATGAATTTTGAACAAATTTTTTCAGGATATTGATAAGGACCATAAATATTATTACTTCTAGTAATAATAATTGGTAAACCAAAAGATTTATGATAGGCTTTAACTAAACATTCAGCAGCAGCTTTTGTGGCAGAATAAGGATTTGAAGGAGCCAATATAGATTCTTCATGACAGTCAGGACTCGTTTTAGCTACTTCGCCATATACTTCGTCAGTACTCACATGTATAAAACGCTTAATATTATGTACTTTTGCGGCTTCTAATAATACGTGTGTTCCCAAGATGTTATTTTTTGTAAATTCAAATGAATCTCCAAATGAATTATCCACGTGTGTTTGTGCCGCCAAATGATATATCGTATCTATCTTTTTTTCTTTTAAAATAAATGTCATAAAATCTGATGATGTGATGTCTCCCTAAAATCAAAAAAAAAAGACAGGGAGGTTTGGTTTGTTTTTAGTTCTCTCCTTACTTTTTTTAATAATGGAATATGAGATGAATTACCTTAATAAATGAGTAATTTGGCATTCCTTTAATCATTTTAAGATTATTTAAACTACCACAATAATCTAATTTATCTACTACAACAATATTGAATTCCGGATATGATATGACTAATTTACGAACCAAAAAAGATCCACTATTAAAAAAAAAAAGAGATTTTTATTATTAAAGGAAAAAAAAAGAAATTAATCAAAAAATTGAAAATTTCACAAAGCGTAAGGAAATGATATTTTTACATAAAACCAGCACCACCTGTCACCAAAATATTCTTAATGTTTAGGTTAATGGGTTCAACACGTTTTCCAATGTCTTCAAGATCAGAATCTAGTACTTTACTAATGATTTCGTGCACATTTGAGTCTGTGAACCTCGACTTCAACTCCATACGAATGCTTTCATTGAGAGTATAACCATTTGTTATTTTAACGTTATCCTTATGTAAAATATTAATTATTCTTCCTTCATACATTTTTATTTACATCAAACGTTTTGCTTTAAATGCATTTTAATATGGAAATGGGTTGTAACACACCGTTTATAATATAAATAAGTAACAGTAATGTTGAAATAACGCGTGAAAATGTTCCACCTTATGTAATTATTTGAATATTAAAATAGTAGTACATAGATCATTAATAAATAATTTTTTATTTTTTTTTTACTTGGCATTGTCACGTGTAAATATAGATTTCTGATTAAAAAAAAAAAAAATTTTTTTGATTGAACCGTCGACTAATTTAGATTTTATCGTTGACAACAAGAGTCGATTGATTATTTTTTGAACGGGAGAAGCAACTAGCATCCATCGAGATACCTTCAACAGCACCATTTTTTTTTAAAGCATTGGTATATGAACAAAAATGTCTCGCTTATACGTTTCTCGACTAAATCATTTTCGATTAAATAATTCATTGGTTAAACAACAATTTTCAGTTCGTAATAAGAATAAATGCTTAAATGACACATTCCCCTACTTAAATCTCACTCGTAGATATATTTCATTAAAATCCATATTCCCTCGTCAAAAATCAACACCTTCGACGTTAAATACGAAACCAATCCTCTCACAAGATGATCTATTTCATCCTTTATCAACTTCAAGATTCGAAGATCTTCGACAACGATACAAACAAATATGCGTATTCGGCTCATGTCCGGTATGTTCATCTCAAGAAAGTGAAATAAAAAATCAACCAAAGTATGAATGTCCAGATTGTGGATTTCCAACGCATTGTTCATTAGAACATTACCTTCAAGATAAAGAGCAGCATAAAGATTCTGAAACATGTTCAATGTTGAGACAAATTAATGAAGATGAACACGATTTAAGAAGCGGTAGAAGAATGATTGAATTTGAATTTCCATCGTCGCAACCACTTGATGAACAAGTGAACATGTCAAATTGGGACACATTTTTATATACACGTGGATTTCCAAGTATGGATAATAATCGATCCGTTAGACACGTATCCAAATTACTGACATATCCAATAACGATATCATCAGTATTGCATGAATATGGACCTTATACAACCAATAATCGGTTAACAAACGAAGGGTTAAAATCTTTATTCGCTTTAAGATCAACGTTATACCCTAAAATCACCTCTCATGATATTAAAGTTCAGAAACCAACAGATGTGATTCGTATTTTCATATTAGGACCACGAGCGGAATCTCAGTTGCCTCCTCACATTTATTCCCAATTATCATATTTATTCCCTTCCATTTATTTTCACATCTATTTCATTGGCCCCGAATCACTTCCCGGAGACCTTCACAATAACGACAAGTCTTCACCCCACGTGGTAAAGCATACGAATTATACACCGCAACTTTCCTTCACTTGGTCAAAATCATATTATCACAATTATCACACGTCGCTAGCACCATTTGATCCATACACGGATGTATTCTTTCTCTTCTCTCCAGGGATTTCACAAATAAACTCTTGGCATGAATCATTACTTAAATTATTACAAACCAAATGTGCTATATTTATTACCGGATTTGATCAAAATGATTTACATAGTGAAGTTAGCGCTATAGAAGAAAAAGGAGAACAAGGCGAATATGAATATGATTGGTTATTAAGACCTGGTGAGAATGTATTTAGAAGTATGAAAAGAGATATCGACTTGAAAGATGTTAGGGTTGGTGTTTGGACAAATTGGGGCATTTTTGGAATTCGAGGAAAGAAATATGATGTTATACTTGAAGATGAAGAAGAATCATCATCGGATCATGACGAATCCTTAACCAGGTCCAACCTATGACAAATATAAATAAGGACGTTAATATAATTAAAAAAGTTTTTTAACCAATCATACACAACGAATTACCTTTGGAATATCATAATGTTCGGTCATTTCTTCCAATTTTCTGTTCAATTCTGCCACACGTTCCTTGTGTGATCTTCGTGCTGCCTTTTCCACTTTTTCTTCCAGCTATTTATTTACCAAGAAAAAGAGATAAGCAAATAAATAAATAAATAAATAAATACCAATAATAAATGAGAAATAAATACGATAGGTTCTGAGGTTAATACCAACCCTTTTTTTTTGAATCGCTTCAAATTTTAGCTCAGCTTCGGTTTTTGTAACTACCCGAATAGGTTTAGGTTCTGATGATGTAGCATCATCGCTCATCAACTCTTTGGCGTACGATTTAAGTTTTTCCTTGTCTTTTTGGGTTTTCTTCTTTTTCCTATAAAACCATACACGAGTTTATTTTGTGAACTTTTTCTGTGCATAGATCTATTAAAATACTTTATCATACTTTTTTATTTTTTTTGGAGTTCCAGAGTCGCCTTTAAGGTTTAACGATCCTCCTGGCACGTTATCATATATATTTGACATAATTATTCGATTCGTTCTAATTTGCAAAAAAAAAAAAAAAGTGGTTAATACAATATTTATAGAAATCAGGTTCATGCATTATACAAATTTGATTAGCGTCTATTCGTTTGTGAAACCGATATTTAATTGCTGCGAAAATCATCCCATTATTCAGAAATGCTTTGCTTTTTGTTATCCGCCTGGCTTGTTTGTACCTTATACCTTTGAAAAAAAAAATAGGCTTATTATTAGTAGTTGAAGCCTTCAAGTTTAAAAAATATTTCCTTTTTCTCCCTGCTTTTTTTTTTTTTTTTAAAAAAAAAAGGAAAAAGAAAAAAAAAAAGAGGTATGAAAAAAAGAGTTATTGTAATTGCGCATTTTGGACCTTTTTTTGCATCATCAAAATAAATCATTACCAAAAACCAATCTCAATTTATTTATTTTCTATTCCGTTGCACTAATAATAAACAAATAAATCCAAAAACTAGGTAAATTTTTATTTACTAAACAAAAAATAAATTCTAAATGGCCGACTGATTTATCTTAATTATATTAGAGCGAATTTGGCAAGCTTACAACGTAGATCATATATGTATAAATAACAAATATTTAAAAAAAAAAATAACCTTATCCACTTATTTAAGAAAAATCTTAGGAAAATTTTTTTTTAATTAAAAAGTGTGCAAGATTTATGGCATCACCCCTGAAAATTATTAATATAAAAATCTACGATGAGATATTCGGAGAATGTGGGTGAATTAGTTTTAGCGCGTGCGTGATTAATAAATCAGATCACCAGTTGTGTCGTGTAACCCATAGCCCCACTTTATTAATTTTTTTCATACGCGGTACACCCCGTTAAATTTTCAGCCCGAGACCTAAAATGCTTTTTTACAAAGCTATGGCAATAAAAACGATACGATTTAGGTAATCTTCCTTAAACCAATCAATTCTGATCATAAAAGGCTCGCGAGAACCAAGTTGACGTATCACTAGCGAGTTAGCTAACTTTATTATTTCGAGATGTCGCACAAACTTGATTTTTTTGACATTAGACTTGAAGTTTTGTTTATTTCCGTCGTTCTTTCCTTATTTCAGTTGTTGTTGTTTTTTATTTCGGTAGTAGTAAATTCCAATATTCAATAAAAATGTCGTATTTATAATTTTTTTTTTTTTTTTTTTTGGATTTTGGGCTTATTTATGATGTGTCTCGAAACGGGTTACATTGTTCTTTGACTTTCCTTAATTATTCTTTCCCCCTTTCCTTAGTTTTCTCCCTTTGGTCCTTTTTTTTTTTTTTTTTTTTTTTTTTTTTACTTTCCTTTTCCCTTTTAAACTCGAAAATTTATATCATATATATTACATCACTTCCACTATTTTTTTTGCGCCGTTTTTTATTATTCCTACCTGAATACCCTTACAAACAAAAAAATAAAAAAAGGTAGACTAAATAAAAGACGCAAAATCTTTTTCCCAGCTTTTTGTTTTTTCACAATCTCCTCACCCATCTCTCTCTTCACATCTCGAAACCTTACAAGAAGCTTAAATCTCATTTGATAAAAAATAAAGAACAATGTATCTTTTGCCGACCGAACTTTTACATTGCATTTTTTCTCTCCTTGGAAAAGACCAAAAATCTCTGTCTCGTATATCGATAGTATGTCGTAAATGGCGTGCTATCGCTTTACCGATACTATTTCATAAACCACAATTTTCTAATGTTCGTAACTTTCAAACGTTCCTTAAGATTCCTACTAGTTCGGGAATTTTAGTCCGTGAAATCGATTTAACGGGTTTATCACACAGATGGACGGAGATCATCGATGCTGACATTATAGCTTTAGTTAATTTATGTCCAAATTTAACAATCCTTGACATAAGTTATTGCCATCAACTTCATGATTCAACACTCACTCATATAGCAAATCATTTAGGCTCAAATCTTACCACTCTTAACGTTTCATCATGCCCTAAATTTACTGATGTGGGATTCTCTGCTTTGGCTCGTTCTTGTAAAGTGTTAACTTCTTTGGACTTTTCTTATACTGATATAACTGACACAGCCTTATCAAAATTCGCTGTAACTTGTCCTACTATAAAATGGTTGAATCTAAAGTATTGTGAATTATTAACGGATTTAAGTTTAGATGAATTGAAGAGAATGTGTAAGGAATTAAGATTTTTAGAAATAGAAGGTTGTTATGGTGTTTTGAGAGAGATTGGAGAAGGTGATGTCTTTTATTATGATGATGATATTTGGGTAACTGAGGAAGAAACCGATGAGGATGATGATTATATCGATGATGAGTTATGATAAAAAATTTGTTCGGACTGGGGATTTGGTCAAGGAGGGTCGCGTAGTATATTGCTCCATCATAACCGGTAATGGTAGGTCTTTTTTTTTTTTAAAAAAAAAAAAAAAAAAAAAGCATGGCGGTTTTGGATGATTTCATTAGTAATGGAAAGGAAAAGGATTATTTTTTTTTTTTGTAATAAAACATTTCATCGGTTGCTCTTTGTCAATAATGAGCAATGTAATTTTTTTAATAGAAACAATCATGAACAAAATAATAATAATAATAATAATAGCATTGAATTTAATTAATGAAAGGGATTGGGTATTTTTGCATTT